TAACTGACAAACTGACTAAAACTCACAGAGCATGATGCGAGAAAAAAAAATTTCATCTAAAGAATCTGAAAGAAAAGAAACCACTTGGCAGACCAAGGACAAAACCAAAACAAATTTTAAAAAGAGCATAAGGTCGTAAGGCGAGCACAGCTGGCTCAGAACGAGGTCAAGTCAAATAGTAATTAATAGACGGGGCATTTCCTGGCTACCTGAGCGACTATCGGCCTGTCAACATGGCGTGTCACGGTTCAGTCTTCTTTAAAGTCGATAATCATTAAACTGCGTGCACACCGTCCGGAAGGTGCATGTCCATGCTCACAAAACCACGTCATTCTACTGTAATATCAGTGACAGTTAATACCGAGTATACACACATCTGATATCACGTGTCTTCAGTGAAACTCCCCACTGCTGTATCTCAGATCTACACTGACTGCTCTAGCTTCAATAAAACCGGCCGCGTCTGATTACACTCTAACAAATGAGAGCTTGCGTCAGCATCACGCCATCCCACGCAAGCAGCAGCCCTTCTGAACAGCCGGGGCACATACCTCGCGGTCCTCAGGGAACACGGCGCTGTTTCAAAGGAAAAGTGAACCTAGCAGCACCAGATTTATAAACGTTTGTCTCATCGGATTATTAGACTCCAGGTTAAAATCTCAGCCAAGACAACGTCTATCCTCACAGGTCAATGCAAAGGTCGGGAAAGTATCTTAAGGAAAGAACTTTTAAGTTAAGAAAGCAAATTAAGCCATGACTGCTCCATTACATACCTTCCTCATTTTGATATTAATCAGCCTTGGATAGTATAAACAGTCTGAACTACAGACGTCGTTAAATAAACCACAAGTAAATAAACATCGGTATAAGCTGCCCCGTACTGAGCAAACACCTCATCTACTGAAAACATTTATCGCATGTACATAATACTGGACCAGTCCAGCAGTTACAAAATTAAAATGGAATGTTATTTACGTAAAGATATTCCCAGCGGGTATAAATTAATTAATTTTTTCTTCTAGTGTCTCATCTGGATTTAATTACAAGGGTAATATTAGCGTCTGCGAGCTATCGGTACCACATCTGTTATTTTATAGTCCTGCTCATTAAGAATAATTAGACCAGAAAACGGCGCGGCCACAAAGGTAGCTTGTCAAAGAAAACGGACAACTGCATATTTTTATGCACGTAATTGTGAAAAGTCTCTACTGAAATTTATTTCGATACGATTTCCTTCAGCCACATAAATGCTATTACTTTCGGAAATACTCCTACTTTCTGCCTTAAAAACAATGACAGTAGAATTAAAAGCATGGAGTTATTTTTGGAAACGATTAAATTATTAATTCTGGTTTCCAAAAAATTAAAATCGGACAAGGCCCTTTAAACTTGTCTTGAAAAAGCTAGTAAAGCCGAAAGATTTCTTACATTTCGCCGTGCTATATCGGCAACTTCTCCGACACACTTGTACAGTGTACAGTCTAAACAAAAGTATGCAGGCGGTGCTTTTATCAACAAAATTCTTCCATAAAGAAAATAACTGGTGTGTGTACACACAATATATATATATATATATATATATATGTGGGTATTTACCTTGAATTTCTTACTATTCCATAAAGCAGGCAGGATAATGATTTCTGATCTCGAAATGATAACTTAGTGCAGTGTTGTCATTTAAACAGACGTCACTTTGACTCTTATTGTTATGCTTTTAAACATGATTCAAACGAGTATACGTTTCCATTTTTTAAATTTATCATAAAATAAAGTGTGCCATTAAAAATGTAAAAATCTGACACACGATGGACTCAATCTCGCAACATAAAATTTCATTATCAAATAGGCAGGCAGATTGAAAGGCGGCGCAAATGGTTTTACCGAGGTCTTAATCGACTTAAGTCATTAGATACCCCTTCAAAATGCATCATCCTGAACATGTCGAAACATATTAATAATCTGAAGTTGAAGCGAAATATGAAACACGGATTCGAAACCTGTACAGCCAATAAATACAGACAGGAGAGATGAATCCCGAGAATTATTAGTACAAACTACTTTCTAATTTCCTTTTACACGTAAACAGAGGCCATGAGATGCAAAGAGCAGTAATTAAACAGACCTACAACCATTTCTGCGCACAATTTCTACTATGAAATAACATCAATTTCCACAACCCGTATCGTCCAGTCATCACACACACATATTACAACCTGAGAACCAGTTATTTTAACATACTTACGAACAGACTAAAACGTACACTTAAGTACATCACATTCCGTCAGCCAATCTCTAGCCAGCGTAAATCTGTCACCCATAACAAGCGAAGTGAAGAATTTTCATTAAACGATAGAACAGGTGTTCCATTTTTTATCGTTTCTTTAATCTTCCTTGTTGAAATAGATTTGGTCTGCTGCAGGATAATTCGACAAAAGTTCACAAACATAAATATTTAGGTAGTGATCACTTAATGTAATGAAACATTCGTTTATATTCAGTGGTGAACTAGGGACCTGTTTAGTATAAACGTTGGTAGCATTGTGATTAATAATGTGCAGATTACTGCTTCCACATTCGGCCCTGAAAACGGAGACGGCGTGTTCCTTCCAGAAGGTCAGGATCTACCTATGAGTCAACATGGCGTCGCAACTCAGAAGAACAACGTCGTCAAACTGTTCCCTGCCTTCAGTACTGTACTTTTAGGTCAGTTTTTATCTTTCCTTATCTCTCTCTCTCTCTCTCTTTCCATTCACTTCGCTTTCCTGCCCCAACTTTCACCGAGTGACAGAACACGCGAAAGTCCGTGCACCGGAGGGCGTTCGCTTCACCCGCCAATCTTCGCGTGTATCCGAAGAGCCTTGCAGGAAGCATATCTGCCCCTAACAAACGAACAGACATCGGTAAATCTCTCATTTTAGTTCCCGGGGCTGTCTTCTGTAATGCTGTGGTGTCGTAAAAACTGGTCGACGACCACTCCGTTCAATATTCTCCCAATCTCCGCCCCCCGGTGACACTCGAGTCAAGGTCATTTCGTTGCTAGGCCGCGGCTAACATCAGCTGCGCAGAAGCTATGCATATGCGAACATGACGTATTCACGAGAAAAACGTTAGCTTATTCTTGAACAATACTTCGCATCGAAATCGTTAATTTGAAATAATTATCATTGTGCATCCTGCCAAGGAATTACCGAATAAGACAACAACACACCGAATGAAAACACAACTTCTGTGACTTCAAGATCGTTGTGGAAATCTGTCGTAAAGCTGTTCTGTACGTTCTTCCACCAAAAGCTACAAAAGAGAAACGTCTTTGTCTTGTTGCGTTGATAACCAAAAACTGTTATAGTTAGGATTAAATTTTAAACGAAACACCCTGTATAACCCACATTTAGATAAAGTTCAAATTATAATTTTTCATAAATATCCCAATGGCGAACTTCCTGTACAGAACAAACAATATTAATAATTATTCCACTCACACGTGTTTTGAATGTATTAAAGCTTCAATAACGCGGATAATCCAGCATTTGATTCTGCTGATCTCGATAATTACAAAATGTGTCAGAGAGGAACTTTGGCGACATGGTTCAATTAAAGGCTTTGTGGGCATCACAAGGTCTCTCGTAAACGTGTACCTGAAACTCGCACGCAACACCAGCACACGTCGTGTGCGACGAACTGAACCAGATTTAACAAAAACGGAGCTCAGGCCTTCTTGATTAGCTGGTGGAGAAGTACTGTCCCGCATTTTACGAGACCCGAAATTTCATTACCATGTTCAAAACAGCCAATCAACGGAGAGTAATCTGGATCAGCTGAATCCAATCCACAAACATCATCCTACTTAAACTTACAAATACACTGGCGTCTCCTACGGTGTCTCCCCCTCAGAATTTCGCGTAAACATAATGTGTCACACGTTTCCAATCTTCCTCTTTCCGCGTGGTAAGCCCATAGGCCTATCAGTGATAAATAAATAAATAACACCAGAGAAAACCTTATGTCGCCTAATCTGCAAACTATATCGCAGGATTAGCAGAGAATATAAATTAATGAGATCTGAGGTTGAAGGTGGTATGTTCCTCTGAAACGTTGGCATGTATCTACAAATCCACATCTGCAGTCAGGAGTGTTGTTCGTCCTCGTTTTACCACGAGGGAGTTCCTTAGTTAATTAATAAAGCAGTTAGTAACTTAGCTAGCCTGATCGTTACTCCGTTACTTAGTAACACATGCTTTGTTGTAAACTTGCCAATTTAATACTTTGCTTATCACTTAGTCCTTTGGTTACTGTAATTCGTTGGTTTGAAAGTTAAAGCCAACATTTGTAGTGAAGTGGTCGCGTATCTTGGGCTGACTGACAGCGGTCAAACGTTAAGATATTCTGGTAGCTTAGTTCGCTGCAGACACGAAACTGTGTGATTCATCAGCCCAGTAATGATTCTGCTGAATAAAAAAGGCCTACACAGCCAAATCAGTATGCGAGTTGGAAAATTATTACACATACAAAACATGCAAGGTTCAAAAAACGTAATCTGCTACTCGATATTTCGTAAATAAATGGGATAAAATTCCATATAAACCTCGTTTCATCACTTAAAAAATTAGCGCACTTCGAAAGTTCAAACACACGTTAAGTAAATATGACATAATTGTGAAAAAATACACGTATAATTCAAAATTATAATATTATATAAAAACCACAGTAACATTTGTAACATCCAACATCGTATCCGGGACAACCGAACGTTGCATTTGAAATGAGCATCTTTCATGGAAAGTTATACCTTAAAACCGAACAGAAAACATTCATGACTCAGTTAACAAACTGTCTTCTAGGATGTCAAGCTGTGTAGTCCCGCATAAGTTTACCGATGTTTCGAAGATGCTTGCTACCTCCATCAGCAGAGCGACAACAACATTGTCTTTAGTTGAAACCTTCATAAATCAAGAAGAGAATAAATTACAAACACAAACGATTAAGACGTGCATAAAACTCACTGTTTGTAGACGCAAAAGTGCGGACGATCCAAATCGAAAAGACGACGACGGAGATGAAGAGTGGCGTAAGTTGACCAGAGGACATGATGAAACAGAATAATAATAAGCAGATGGCAATTCCCACGGCAGTGTGGAAAATGCTTGTTTACAGTTACGGGTCGCGTTCCCTGAAAAAATACAAAAAAAAAGACTCAGCATTATTGGAAGACCTGGTATTTCCCTGCAAACTACGTAAAGTGCAAAATCGAAGGATGTACCGACGTTTCGTACAGGTCTACCGCCTCCAATTACAGCTACTTATAATTATTCAATGTCAAGATTTTTTCCATCGTCTGTTCTTTAAAACCACGATGTTTCGGAGGCTGGTTCTGTCTCCGTCTTCAGGTGAGAGGTACCTACTCTGTTGGGTCCCTTACATAAGCTAGTATCTGTCACTGGACAATATAAATCGTGCAATTATTTCAACTTGTCCACCCAAGTACAGGTTCTGTCAGTAGATGGAAAAATTCCTGACAATAAATAATTTTAAGTGTAAACTACCGTCGTCAAAACCATTTAGAATTGAATTACAAATACCTATATTCTGCATATAGCTGCATAATTTTCATCCGACACTTCGGGAGATTCAAAACACTTGATTCTACAGACTCCCCAGGACTGTGTAAAAAAAATTACGCGTTTCTACGTCAGAGTTATACATTTCGAGAGCAAACTGTGTTGGTGTCTTGGTAACAACCTAACAGCATGTTTACAGAGCAATACATAAACGTCAAGACAAATGACACGCACGTTCCACACAAAGACTGGGCGGTATAATGTACTAATGTATACCATATTAATATATTTCATTTCAAAAAACTTCTTGCATTTCTAAGTAAAAGTAACGTAGATCTATGTCCACGTAATGACGCAAAGAGGCAATTTAGGTATGGAACACATCTCATCACGTCACATCGCTTGTTATGTAAACAGAAAGTGTACACATAGGAATATATACAGCGAAATTTTCATGTCGTTAATACGGAGCGGCTTTTAGGGGAATCGGGGATGACTGTAATGAGTCCACCCCTCCACATCAGAAACGAGGTAGGCGTGTTCCACTAATGACCATAAATGGCCGACGATGACATTATTTCGCCAATAACTCGCGTCCTATTAGGTTCAAGTTGCTAAGTTGTTTTAAACGTGTTTTAGTGAGTGTGTGTACTACACCCACGATACACTTACATTCACTTTATATTAAGGCATTCGAATACGTGGTCCATAATTTAAGTGGACCAGTCAGCCTGAACACGTATCTCGCACTAAAGCCAAAAAGAAGGGGGGACTTCCTATATAATAAAACGTGACTGATATGATAAACAGAATTTAAATACTTTTTTTATGCCCCACTGATATTTCAATAGGCAGTTAACCCAGCTCTTCCAAATAGTCTACAGAGTAACGTAATACCTAGGAAGTTTCGGAATTTTTAAGGCGATAATAATTGCTTTCGTTCTGACTTTTTTTTTTCATTTTTAGTGTTCTGTCTGACGACAGGTCCATATGAACAGGATCCTTCCATCCTTTTCTCGGACTGGGACCTGTTCATATACGTTCTTGGCAGATGATCCAGAAGGGGTTTGCCATTGCCTTCTTCTGGGTGTGAATGGAGTAATTGTTGGGATGCCACAGAGAAACCGGGGAAGCCCCCGGAGGAAAACTCCGTGTTGCCTAGACCACCTCATCTTATTATTATTTAGTGTTCTGTCTGACGACAGGTCCATATGAACA